ATAAATCTATAAATCTGCATGGCTTCTGTCACAGTATAATGAAAACTAGATGTTTTCCCTGTTCCCGTCTTGTGGTATTCCTGAATCACTGTGTGCTCATTGGTTGGACCATGCTACATGGAAAACTGGTGGCAGAAGGCTTGTTCTCTGCATTGTGTTGGAGGGTATGCTTGAAAGGGTGTCACAGTGGATCAACTCCAGGCAGAATGTGCCATATTTAGAAGGATTTGAAAGGGAAGAATGTTTGAACTGCTTTAGGGAAGCTGAGAGTGCCGCTGAAGCAAGAATGTTCCAGATGCTTGTCTCTGATAATATTCTACCATGAGCCACACCCTGAAAGAATCACATCATCCTTGCCTCTCCCACTTGGATCTCTAGCTCCTGGAATTTGCCAATTCTTGAGGGTTGGATGGAGCTTCTGACCTTGTTTAGACCACTTGTTCTGAATTCTGAATACACCTTGGAAAATTGGAAAGAGGGTAGGACACCTTTAATTTATTTTATTATTGTTCATCATAAACAAGAGACCCACAAACATAATCTAGAGATGAGGTTTTGGTCTAATTGACTATAATAGTCACTAAATAATCCACTAGCCCACATAATGGAATGTAGAAAGATAAAAAAACCAAAGACAACACAGGTCTCTATACAGAGTTTATGCTTGAACTTTTAACATGAAACAAGAAGCTGTATTAAAATGTATAATTAAAGATTCATTTGAGGGCTTCCCTTGTGGCTCAGTGGTAAATCTGCCTGCAATGCAAGAGACTGGGGTTCAATCCCTGGGTGGGGAAGATCCCCTGCAGGACAAAATGGCAACCCACTGCAGTATTCTTGCCTGGAGAAGTCTATGGACAGAGAAGCCTGGCAGGCTACAGTCTATGAGATTGCAGAGTCAGACACAAGCTAGCGACTAAACAACAACAAAGACTCAATTATACCTGAAGGTATAGATGAATCACCTGGGGATCTTGTTAAAATGTTGATTCTAGTTCATAGAGCTGGGTGGGGCCTGGGGTTATGCATTTCTAACAAGGTCAGAAGAGATGCTGATGCCTTTGGTCCTCAAATCATAATTGGGGTAAAAAGGATCTGCCCAGGTTCTCTTAGGTCAATAGGTGTTGGGAGCCACTGTGGTTATACAGAGGTGTGGGCTGCCTTCTTAGCCACATCTTGACTACCAGTTTCTAACCAAAGCAGGTCTTAGAACAAGATTTGTCACCGATGAACACTTACTAGTCATAGAGCAGAAGACAGTTTTAAAGCCCGTGCCTAAGGCTCCGTGAAGTCCCAACTCTGTCTTTTGAGAGCTTGGCACGAGAGCCTCACAATCCACATCTGCCATGGTCCTTAACATGGTGGTCCTCAAAGTGTGGACCCTGGACCAGCAGCATCAGCAACAACCTAGAAACATGTTAGAGATACAGATTCTCAGGCCCACTGTAGACCTACAGAATCAGAAAATCTGCACATGGGGCCTAGGAATCCGGGTTTTTAACCAGCCCTCCAGGTGAATCTGATGTACACTCAAGTTGGCGAACCACTGCTACAACAGCAGGATTTTGTCAGCCGTCTCATTGAGTTCAGGCAACCAAGAGTCCCAGAACTACAGCTGGAGCTCTTGGAATCCAGCCTACCGCACCACTTTGAAAGGTAGAGGGCCTTCTAGATTCTTCTCACACCCCATTGACGTAAGGGCAGGGCATGTTTCTAAACCCTTTGCAGCAGTCCTTGTATTTTGTAAACTACGAATATCACTAACACAGCCCCTCTCACATTAATTAGGATCCTAGATGTATTAATAGGATTTTAGGTGTAACACGAGCTAAATATAACTGAGGCTTTTACAGTGGCGGCCTCTGGAGTGAGGGTTTTTGATTAATTGCTAGCCAGCCACCCCTGGAGTGTGCTTCCCTGATTAAGACAACTGACCGCCTCTGCAGCATAGCTAAGCTAACCCACACATACATCATTCTACACTGTCCAGAGGAGGATTTCTTTTTAACTCTTAAAATCTACTTTATTAAGGCATTTGTTGTTGTTTGTTCACTAAGTTGTGTCAGACTCTTTGTAACCCCATGGACTGTAGCACAACAGGCTTCCCTGTCTTTTGCTATCTCCCAGAGCTTGCTTAAACTCATGTCTGTTGAGTTGGTGATGCCATCCAGCCATCTCATCCTCTGCCACCCTCTTCTCCTCCTGCCCTCAGTCTTTCCCAGCATCAGGGTCTTTTACAGTGAGTTGGCTCTTCACATCAGGTGGCCAAAGTATTGGAGCTTCAGTATCAGTCCTTCCAATGAATATTCAGGGTTGATTTAGTTTAGGATTGACTGGTTTGATCTCCTTGCAGTCCAAGGGACTCTCAAGAGTCTTCTCTAGCACCACAATTTAAAGCATCAATTCTTTGGTGCTCAGCCTTCTTTATGGTCCACCTCTCATATCCATACAAGGCATACATAAATACAATAAAATGTATATGCTCTCAAGAGACCTTCATAACAATCAAGATAAATATCATTTTAATCACATAAAAAATAGCCTTGTGTTCTTTTCAGTTAGTTACCCTTCCCGTCCCCACTCCTGGCTACCATCTACCTGCTTTCTGTCAGTATAAGTGAGATTAACCTGTTCTAGGATTTCATATAAATGGAATCAAACTGTATTTTTTTAATCTTTATGTTGTTACCCAGGGTAACATTTTTCAAACCAGCTCACATTGTTGCATTATCAGTAGTTAGTTCCTTTTTATTACAGAGTAGAATTCCCATTGTGTGACTGTACCACAATTTGTTCATTCATTCTACTATAGTTTTCTTTCCAGTTTTTGGCTCTTACGGATGAAGGCTACTCTGGGCATTCACATAGACATCTTTTTGTGACATGTCTTTATTTCTTTGAGGTGACTAGGAGTAGATTTTTGGGTAATAAGATAGATGTTTGTTTAATTTCATGAGAAATTATTAACCTGATTTTCCAAAGTAGTCATACTGTTTTATATTTGCACCAACAATGTATGAGAGTTCCAGTTGCTCCACATCCTTGCCACCATTTAGTATTGTCTGTGTTTTTGGCCTTTATGTTGGATATTTTAAAGTAAATTGCAGACCTTGTTTTTCTTTCCCCTAATTTCATTTTAGCTTGTTATATTTGATCTCTTCAAAGGCTATCAATTTAATAATGTTGACCCATCAACTTGGATATAGATTAAATTATTTCCCTTTCCTAATCTCCAGTTAGAATTGGTTCTGTAGGTGCCATTTGTTTATGGTTATTAGTCATGTTTGCCAGTATTTTTTTTTCCATTCTTTTATTCATTCAGTTTGCCAGAGTCCCTGAGCTGTATTAGACCTGCTTTTTCAGAGAACAGTTGTATGTTAAGTCACCAGGAAATACAACAGAAGTTGGGGACAGGGTACTGGTCTTCAAGGAGCTTTTTGGAGCTGGGTTTGTGAAACATAAATGCACAAAAATGCAAGAAAAGAAATATAGCTTGGTGTATATCAAGACTTATGCAAAATTCAGTAAGGGCATAATGTAAATAGAGATTTCTGCTAGGTGAGATGAGTTGAGGCTTAATAGACAAGTGACAGTAGAAACCACTGTAGCAGAAATTGTTGAGTTGTTAATCCATGCAGAATAATAGAATGATTGCACCTTATTATGTAAAGCTAATTGTAATCCCAGTATTTTTCACTTGATTTTTTAAAAAATATATCAGTGTCTTTTATTAGTACAGAATATGGACAGAAACAAATATCCATCCTGATATGGATTTGTAACTTTTCTTATTGACATCTGATATCATTTTTGTATATTTAATATGCATCCAAATTTTTGATCAGCTAACATTTCTGATTAGTAAATGTGTGTGCATGCACACACAAATTTGTGAACTTCTTTTTAAACCAACTCTCTTTTATCCTGTCTTTGCCAACTTATGTACTTTTTAAATAAATGCAGAAGAGTTAAATAGAAGGAATCTGTGGAATCAGGCAGACCTAAACCTGGATGAGAGTTAACTCTGCCAATTATATTTAAAATACATCTCACACACAGACACATACACATGTTGAATAAGAAATGTTCCAAATGTTAACAGTGCACATCTTTGTGTAGTGAGATTATGGATGATTTATTTACTTGATTCCATGTTTTCCTTTAATTTCTTTGTTTTCCACAGTGAGCATGTATAACTTTGATAATTAGAAAAAATGTTATATGCCACTTGATTGTCTGCTAAATTCTCATAGCTAGTCCAGTGATGTATTCCCTGTTCTTTTAACTCTTATGTAGCTCATGACCTAGAGGGGTGGGGTTCAGGGGAGAGGGAAGGAGGTCCAAGAGGGAGGAGATATATGTATATGTGTGCATGCTTAGTCTTTCAGTTGTGTCTGATTCTTTGCAACCTTATGAACCGTAGCCCACCAGGCTCCTCTGACCATGGAATTCTCCAGGCAAAGATACTGGAGTGCATAGCCATGCCCTTCTCCAGGGGATCTTCTTGACCTAGGAACCCAGGACTCCTGCATTGCAGGCAGATTTTTTACCATCAGAGCCACCAGGGATATACCTGGTTCACTTTGTTGTGCAGCAGAAACTGACATAACATTGTAAAGCAATTATATTCCAATAAAAAAATAAAATAACAGGAAAAAAAATATAAATCTTGCATAGCAAAGATTCACTACAACAGAACCAAGATTACAGTCTAGAAAATAAATACGTGTCCCTCTATTCTCTCTTGGGAACAAGAATGACATAAGCACCCTGCAGGTTATGCCACTGTTGTCCCTCAAAGAAGTTAGCTTTCCTGATCGTCAAAGAGCAAAAAGACATTTTTTTTTCCTTCCCCACATTGACAGAATTTCACCTTTCCAAAACTGGGGCATATACAAGAGATTTTTTCCCCTAGCCTTTTGTTGGCAGATCATTGGGAGCTTATCTGTGTTATCTGATGAAATAACAAATGATCTTTGTTTTCCCCCTTTCTTCTTCAGCTGACCTGAATAATGTCAGGTTCTCGGCTTATAGGACTGCCATGAAACTCCGAAGACTGCAGAAGGCCCTTTGCTGTGAGTATTAACCGGTGCTTGAAATACTTGATAGTTACTCTTTGCTTTTAAAAAAATGATTGGGGTATTTTCTCTTGAGGAGGGGAGAAATAGCTCTCTCAAGTCCAGTTGTAACAGAATTCATTTTTTTCAAATCTCTTTGGCTTAGTGTACATCTAGATTGGGGCTTCCCTGATTGCTCAATTCTAGGGCTTCCCTGGTAGCTCAGCTGGTAAAGAATCCACCTGCAATGTGGGAGACCTGGGCATCTAGAATACTCTTGTCACATTGTTGAGAATCATTCCTGTCACCATTCCTCAGCTACTGATGTTGAATTGATGAGACTGATCATTTTTATTTTCTAAAGTATGGTACTGGCATTGAGAATTCTCTTTATGAAACTTGAATTATCTCCCCCATTCCACCTTTATTTCTTGTTAGAAAATGTGTTTAATGTTTGAAGTATTAGCACTCGGTTGCCTTAGCCAACCAAAGCACAAAGATGTGTATTGTTTTTAGCTTGAATGCTAATGTTGAGATCAGTGCTGTCATAGAAGAATGATGACAAGGTTGTTTTTCTGCTTTTGCTAAATAGCATGCCTCAGTGTGAAAAAAATCCCAGAGTGTCATACAACACTCTCAGTTCATTAGAGAGTTTATGTAACTGTTACTAAGTTATTGAGAGCCCGTGTATGCTGATGATGTGAGCACGAAATAGACAGGCACAGTCCTTATGCTGATGGAACCTATAGTCTAATGAGGGACACACAGGGTATCCAGAAGTCTACAGACATAGGTAAACATATTTAAGATCATCAAGAACCTCTACAATCTGTTGTTATTTTTTTTAAAAAAAGCAATGAGATTGCCTCTATTAAGGCTTTATGGGCACCTGAGAAAAAGTGAAAGGACAATTTGAATGTTGTATATTTAGTTACATGACAGTGGATGGGGTACCATGAGAACAGCTAGTTGTGGGGGTGAGGTGCTGAGAAGACTTACTTGAAGAGCCACGTGAGTCCAGAAAGCTGAGTAGAGTTCAGTCTTGGAGGAGCATTCTCATCAGAAGGCAGAGCGTGTGTTGAGGTATGGGGTCCAGAGATGCACTCAGAAACTGAAAATGCCACAGCATGATAGAACACAGGAGCTCCAGGGAGGGGCTGCGGTGAAATATTCGGCTGGAGCCAGGCAGACTGTGAAAGGTTTTTACACTTAAGTTACACAGGGTGGGAAGGAGAGGGTGGGGTGAATTGAGAGACTAGCATTGAAACATACACATCACCATATGTAAGAGAAATGGCCGATGGGAATTTGCTGTGTGACACAGGGAGCTCAGACCAGTGCTCTGTTATATCCCAGAGGAGTGGGTTGGGGTGGGAGGTGGGAGGGAGGTTCAAGAGGGAGGGGCCATATGTGTTCCTATGACTGATTCATGTTGATGGATGGCAGAAACCAGCACAATATTGTAAAGCAATTATCTTCCAATTACAAAAAACTTCAAGAATGTGGAAATCAGTGGGGAGCCATGTAGTGGGATGGCGTGTTGAGATTGTCATTTAGAAAGATGACTCTGGCTGTGGAATAGAGCCTGCATCAGTGCTGGGGGTGGGGGTGGGGGTCCGGGGAGGTGTGGGGGCGTACCCCTGCAGGGGAAGAAACTCAGCGAGCAATTTTGGTCCTTTAAACCAGCAATCTGGTAGCCTGAATTGGCAGAGTAGGAATGGAGAAAACTGGGAGGACTTGAGAAATACAAGGTGAAATTGATAGGCCTTAGTGACAAGTTTGATGTGCCTGGTGAGGATGGATCAAGGAAGAGACTTAGGTGCTCAACTGAGATGAACAGTGGGCCTGCTGGCAGAGTTGGCCATAGACACATAGCTGTGGTGCTCAGGAGAAACAGATGCGCAACATTGAGGGATGATGAGTGTGCAGATGCTTAGGGAGAGGGAAAGTAACAAGAAAACAATATTTGAGACCAAGAGTGACCCATGTACAGAGGGGACTACAAAGGAACACACATAGAGTGTAGTACCACATATTACATGGGCAGGAAGAAGGGGCCTATCACCAGGCTCAGATGCTGCTAGAAGGTCAGGAGGAAGTGGGCCCAAGGGTCCATTGGGTTGAGCAACAAGAAGGTCCTCAGGAACTTGGGTGAGATTTTAGGGGACATGGTGGAGGTGGTGAAGTGGGCTTAGAAGTCAATGAAAAGTGGGGATGTAGAGAAAGTTGGTTGAGACAGTTCTTGGAGAAAGGTTGTGAAGGGAAGCGGGGCAGTTGTTAGCTGGAAGGGGCAGAGAAGTTAATGGAGGGTACACACATTTAGACTGAGAGAAGCCTGAATCTATTTCAATGAGTATTAGAAGACAGGACAAAATGAACATTGTTGACTGAAGAGGAGATAATAAAACATGTGAATCCTCGGAGGGTGGGAGAAGATAACCCAGAGCCCATGAGAAGGAAGGGTGTGCCTGTCTTCCAAGGTAGTGAGTAGGGTGAGGAGAGGATGTGAGCAGGGCCAGGTAACTGAGGAGACCTGGGGGAGGCAGGTGAGGGATGCCCGTGGACGGGGCTCCATTTTCGGCGTGAAAGTGGAGGAGAGTTCCTGGGCTGCAGTTAACAGCAGAAAGTCGAGGTTGGCCTTACCTCTGTGGCCAGGGAGAAGGCTATTTTGGAAAGCAGCATCTTGGAGCTCAGTGTCGGCTGAGTGTTTTAGGGTTGCACCCATCCTCGGGGGGATTTCTCCAGGAGCTGGATGATTCTATTCCAGGTGGACAGAGGCCAGCTAGGCAAGAGAAATGAGGATCTGGTCAGAAGCGGGGGTAAGTGGTTGGAATGCTGTCTGCCCAGTCCACATTGGGCAGAAGAAGCTGGGAATTCAGGTGGAAGCTGGGAATTAGGAGGCAGTGTGGTCAAGCGGCCAGCAAACACTTCAGGGAGGTAGAGGAACAGATTGTGTGGAAGTGACTGGAAGGCCAAGAAGTTGTTGTCAGACGGCAGCAAAGCTCAGCAGTTTTTCCGAAGTGGAACGGGTCAGCAGATTGGCTCTAGTACATGACCATTTGCATGGGTGGTAGAGGTGGACTAGATGTCAATTTCCCTGCAGCTGAAATAGGAACTTAAGGAACTGAATGGCTAGAGTGACACACCAGTCATGACAGCCAATATTGAAATCACCCCAAATTGGACCCAAACTGGACCGAATTGAACCCAGTTCACAGCCGAGAGCTGTGAACCCTGGCAACCGAAAGTTTGGGAATGAAAGTATCTGACCAGGGGGTCTGCAGAAGCTAGCAGGAAGATGGTCAAGGAGTGTTGTTGGTGTGTGATTTTCTACATGGTGGCGAAGACATGGCTTAGAAAGGAAATTGTTCGGAAGGAGAGAGTAGGCCTGTCCTCTTTATCTTGGTCTCTGCAGCACTCAGCACAAAGCCTGGCATAGAGAATGGCTTAATCTGTTTTCACGGAATGGATGTGGGAATGAAAGGAGATTTGGGCTTCCATTTCTATATAGGTTAGACTCTGAAGCTGTCACTTTTCAGCTGTATAGCTGCTAAGCTTGAGTGGTTTTTAGAGGACTCCCTGGGCCTTGATTTCCGTAGGGACCTGTTGAATGTACCAGAGCTGGAAAGAGGTAATTTGGGGTGGGGGAGTCAGAGACCAGGTGGAGAAAGTCTTCTGCCTCTTTTTCATCTTCTATCTCTGCCCCATCCCAGAGGTAGTGCCTCCCACTGAGAAAGGGACAACTGTGAAATGGCTACTGTAGAGTGCTATGGTGTACAGTCCTGTGAGACCCTAAAAGTTCAGTAGAGACAATATGTTGTGCCAGGTCATACTATGAAAAAGCCCCCAAATTGACTAGATTGGAACACCCTTTCCATACTATTCCTCGCAGATTTAGGCATTATTCAGTTCTTCTGTCAAAAAGTCTTTCCATTCACGAATGTGTCTCATTGTCTGTCATCTCACTGTATGTTAAAATTTCCAATAAACATGGGAAAAATGGGGGAATCTGATATTATAAAACATTTTGGCCATGAGTGTTTATGACCTCATAACAAAGTTAAGCTCTGAATGTGGAATGTAAAATTTTCACTTTTCAACTACTGTGCAACTCTCAGCACTTCCTTTCTCAGCATTACTTTTCTCATATTTGAAAAAGATTTAGGCAGGGCAAAACGAGGGTGTATTTATCTAAATTAAGTGCTGGATTCTCAGGAATGGTAGAAGGGTTCCACGTGGAGTATGAATACAGAATGAAGAGGTCACCTATCCTTTTATTATTGAAAACATGCATGATTGCCTTACTTAACTGTTCAGTAGATTATTTCAGAATTTCCCCTTAATTTTAGATACGCTTTGGTTTCCCTTCTGGCCTTTTCGTCATTTCTATGTCTGTAAAGTCATGATAAAGAGCTATTGTCTGGGGTCAGAAAACAAAACTTGTCCTGGCTAGCTTTTCCAACTGAAAGTCGCTTCCACTAACTCTTACTTTAATGAACATTAATGATGTTATCTCAATGATTTCCTGATGCCAGTTAAGAGTTTGAATTACAGATGCCTTAGAAAATATGCCATGCTGCTGCCGTTGAGCACTTAGTATTGAAGCTGCAGAAACCTGAATACCACAATGTTATCCACTGTAGAGAGTTTGCTGTTTAAGTCTAGAGCGTCATCATTGGTCTATAATGTCCCCAGTTTGTAATCGGTTTAATGTTGCATGACTCTGTACTGCCTTTCAAGGCATCGTGAATGAAAATTAAACTTGACAGAAAAGCAGAGACAAAGAGAAAATCTGAGTAAGATGGATTTATAAGCTGGTCCTATGGCTGATAACCCATTGAAAGTTACAAAGAAGATAATCTGAGTTTTTTCTTTCTCCTACTGTGGTTCTCATGGCATCCTATAGGTTTGCGGCTTCTAAAATTAAAAATATAGCCAACTTCTAAGAGCAGAGATAAAAAAGGCACTTAACAAAACTCATGTATTTAGTTTATTAGTGTGTGTTGGGTTGGAGAGAG